GCCTAGTCTTGCATAGCGAAGCAGCTTTGACGTCAAACGTGTGGGGCATTTTGCAGCATGGTGCCTCGGCTGTTTGTTTATCGCAGTTACCTCAGCAACGCGGCCACGCGAGTCTCAGGATTCGCGCGCTACCTAAGTATCCATGAACGCCAACTTCACCACATCTTTACCACGAAATCGCCCGCCCACCTTCCGGATGAATGCGCAACTAACCCTTAGCTAACAATCGCTATCCACGTAACCCGACGAGCCCATAGAAAGCAACGCGCTTGCCGAATCTCGACGCGACAATCGAATGGCTACACTTTCTCCCACGCCCTCCTATGGGCGCATGCGTGCGCATTCCTCAATACGACCCAGGAGAGACTCTCCGCTATCCGTACTGGGGCAGTCGCAGGGCTTCTCAGCGGACGCGCCCATGATGCAGAACATCAACATTGGCGACAGCTCTGATGACGAGATACCACAACCCATGAAGCTCAGCGCTTTGACGACGGCACTCCTTGCGCAAGGCAGTGACGTCGACTCGCCTGAGAAGAGGAAACCTAAGCTGAAGATATCGCGCAATGCCTCTGGCTCCAACACGCCAGTGCAGGATACCGTCACACCTGCACCAAGTTTGCGAATCAAGCGAGTGCCACTACGAGGTGCGCCGATGAGACGGTTTCGGAGGACACCTCAGAGCGAGGAGGAACATCATCCATCTCAGGACCAGGAGAACATGCCCATCTCCGCGGTCAAGTCGCAGCCTGAGAACGTCCCCGATTCCGTCCTGAAAGTCACCGGTTCCGTCATGAAGGTTGCAGAGGATCGCCATATGCAACCGCAGCCAGAGCACCAGTCACCGATACAACGATCTTCGCAGCAACAAGAAAAGCAGATGCCGCTCCAGGCGCTAAGTGCGAACACTCCACGACGACCAGCACCTCCGCCACCACCGAAGATGTCAGTGTTGGAGACAGCGACTACTGCTGCCGGAGCAGCCACAACAAAGACGAGAGAAAGGAAGAAGAGGAGCACACTATCAGTCAACGGAAAGCATTACTCGCAAATGGACAGGATAGGAAGAGGAGGCAGTTCGGCCGTGTACCGCGTTATGGCAGAGAATTTCAAGCTTTTGGCGCTGAAGAGAGTCAAGCTTGAGGATGCAGACGAGGCCACTGTACGGGGCTTCAAGGGCGAGATCGACCTCCTACAGAAGCTGAAGAACGTTGACCGCGTTGTGCGACTATACGATTGGGAGGTCGATGAGCAGCGTCAAGTGCTGAGTGTGGTACGTGTATCTTGAAACAAGGCAAAGTTCTATACTAACATGCACCAGCTCATGGAACTCGGAGAATCTGACCTCGCCCGCATAATACGAATGAAGCTCGATCCCGCAGACGGAGACGGCAAACTAGACCTAAGCTTCACACGCTACTACTGGAAAGAAATGCTCGAATGCGTCGGCGCAGTCCACGACCACGACATTGTCCACTCTGACCTAAAACCCGCGAACTTTCTCCTCACCTCTGGCCGCTTAAAGCTCATCGACTTCGGCATCGCAAACGCCATCGAAGTCGACCACACCGTAAACGTGCACCGCGACTCGCACATCGGTACCCCAAACTACATGTCACCAGAGTCGCTGGAAGACTCAGCCGGAGGCGCCAGAGGTCTACTCTCCAATGGCAACGGCTCCAAGGACATGGCGCTCGGCAAACCCTCCGACGTCTGGAGTCTAGGCTGCATCCTCTACCAAATGGTCTACGGCCGCCCTCCCTTCGCGCACATCACCAACCAAATGGCGCGTGTCCTCGCCATTGTGAACCGCGACTACAAGATCGAAATCCCCGACCTCGGTGTCGGCGATGTCCGCGTCCCTCCCGGCCTCAAAGCTACGCTTCGCCGCTGCCTGCAACGCGATGCCTCGCGCCGACCAAACGTAGCCCAACTCCTCGACGAGCGAGACCCTTTCCTCTACCCCGACGGCGGAGAAGACCTGAGAATACCACAGGAACTGCTCGGTCAAATCATCCAACGGGTCGCAGATCGGTTTAGAGATCCGAATAAGAGCCCGCCTACCGACGATGAGATTCGTCAGTATCCAGCGAGTTTCTACGAGAAGATTAGACAGTTGCTGGAAAGCGATTAATCTTTGTCTTTTCTTCTCTTTGTTGTACTCTTGTCTATTCTTGGTGCTCCGTTTGCGGGCATCGGCATGTACATACACGCCTTGTTTTCTTTGTCTCTTTTCCCATCATCATCATCATGACGACTTGGCGCTGGGGTTCCTTTGCTTATCTCCATCTTGGGTTGTTTGTTCCTGCTGCCATCAGCTACTGCATTCTTGCTACCCACTTCTGTTCGCGCGGTATCGCCGCTTTTTGTGCGTTCAAGCGTCGCGTTCCTGGCCAGGGTGTTCTATTTGTTTGGAAAAGGCGCATGGTCTCTTTTCGTTGGATGAACTCATGAATGGCGGTCTCACTCTAGTCGCATACGGTTTCCTTGGTTCGTTGTATATACCCGTGTTGGAGAGTTGGGGAAATCGATTCTTTTAATCGTTTATTGGATGACTTGCTGCTGCTGCTGCTTGTGATATCGTGTGATGGTTCATGTGTAGTGCAAGAGCCAGACAACAAACTTTGCGCGGACCGAGATAGTTTGCATGTTCGCATCTGGTGACTAAACTCTCACGAGAATCTCAGGATCGTACTTCGATGACATAAGTTCAATTACTCTAAGCAGATTGCTTGCCTACAACAGCGTGCTGTTATGAAAGAATTGGACAAAGTACAGAATTCCCCATGGAAGCGATTAAAGACAACCCATTCTTTGACCAGGTCCTAGTATGAGCAATAATTGAAATTGGGAATATCCGCTATGGAGCCATAAATCCCACACCCTATCCTAAAGATAACGCCATGTAAATGCTCCGTGTCCAGTGAGAACGCCAAAGCGATGCTACATATAATAAACACCGCTACCCAATATTCATGACCAACCCTTCATAGAAAGCGCAAAGTCTAGGAGAAGCAAGATCACTCATCAGCCTCCTCGTTCAGCTGCTTACGCTTGATAGCAAGATCCGCCTTCTGCTTGTCGATTTGAGTTTGTGCGCGCTTCTTGAAGAGGAAGTTGGTGTGTCTGTCGCGGGCTTCTGTGCTTTGAACAATAGCTCTCTCCAACTCTGCGATTTCGCCCCGAAGCTGCTCTTGACGCTGTTCCTCTGCTGCGGCGGCTTCGTCCACCTCATCGACGTCCTCATCGGAATCTTCGTCGTCGTCGTCATCATCGTCATCTGCAGATGTCGCGGCTGCGGGTGTAGAGGCTGCCGTCTCGGTTTCAACAACCACGTTTCCGTTCTGGCTGAGAGCGTGCATGGCGACGTCGTGAGCGGTGGTTGGCGTGTCGGCTTGTTCGACTTGCACGTTGTCGTTGTTTGCGAGCAAGGCCTTCAGTTGGTCGTTGTCGCCCTGGAACTCGACCTCGTCGTCCATGAGTCCTTCGGCAAGCATCTGCTCCAGTTGGTCGGCATCCATTTCTTCCACTTGGGTAGCGTCTGCCATCTCCTCGTCGTCGACCTCTTCTTCTGAACTTGACTCCTCTGAGCTCTCGGCTTCACTGTCTACCATTTCATATTTGGTTGATTCAGCAAGCTCGTCAGCTTCCAGTAGTTTGTGTAACGCTGTTTCGGCGCGTTCAACGTCGATGTAGGATTTGCGAGGGCGGAAGCGTCGCTTACGGGCCCACTTCATAGGTGGCGTCAGACCGTGAGGAAACCGGTGGGTGTCTGGGGAGATATAGGATGGAAGTGGATACTTCTTCGCTTCCTCCTCGTTCTTAACTTCATCCAGGACTAACAGCATCTGGCAGACATCTGCGGTCTTAACCCAGTCCTTCTTGTTCCAACTCTTCAGTGACTCTATAACTGCGGGTAAATCGACCATAGTTGCAGCGTAATGGCGGCCTTGTACAGTGACCATAGCCCGACGGCCCTCGCGGTCAAAGAATCGGAAGTGTACGCCGGGCCCTCCCTGTGACACACTCTTGCCGATGGTCTTCTCTTCGATAGATTTGCGCAGTAGATCGCAGTCTGGACCTGGCTTCATACGCAACACAAACTGAGACTCGATTGCCGGATCAGGTTCCGCCTCTTCTGCCTCGCTGTCGTATCCGACACCATAGGGTCTAACTGGTGGCTTTCCAGCGCCTTTGACCTTTAGGATGGCTGGTCTCGCCGAGGTCATGCTTCCCTTCGGTTTGATGGAGAGCTTGATAGACTGAGTGCGGTTGTGTGACTTGATAGGCTGGGGCGGAGGTTGTTGGACCGCGGCGTAATCGTCGTCGTCGTCGCCGCTGTCGTTAGCCATGGCGAGGCTCTTCGCGGTGGGTTTCGGCTTGCGCTTCGCGGCAGGTGAGTCGACATCGTCGCCGTCTTCGCGTGCCCTCTTCTTGGGTCCAGGCTTTCCCGGGGGAATAACGTTGCCGCTTTCATCGAGTTTAGGCTTCTTGGTGTACTTGCGCTTGACTTTGGCACCTTCGCCGTTCTGGCCATCGGCAGGCTCACCAGCCGCGGGTCCTGAGGGCTTGAACTTGATCTTGAGGCCTCCTGGCTTCGCGGAAACGGGTGCAGGCGCGTCGGCTGGGGGAGGTGCGGCGGGCGGCGCATCGCCAGAAGGCGCATTCAGGTTCTTGAGTTTGAGCTTCATCTTGGGCGGCGGTACGGGGAGTTTCGTTGTTCAAGACGGATATTTCGAACTACGCGCTCGGGTGCGCGACATTTGCGAGGGCGCGCGGTTGTGAGAAAGCTGGGGTAGGTGAGTCGGAAGCGTTGGCATTCCATGGGCGGCGGCCTTGGCGGTCACCGCAGTGAAGGGCCAAAGCTTTCCAGTCGCGTACCTTCACTTTCCTTACACTCGCTGCGCCGGACAGTCCCACCATGCGCCTGCTGTTCCCGCCCTAACAGCACCACACCACAGCGGACCTCTGCATCTTCCATCGCCCACGCCATCGCCAGCATGTCCCAGAACGACCTCTTCCTCAACCTGCTGCGGCCCGCCGTCCTCCACATTCTACGCGCCACGGGCTTCCAGCACGGCAAACCCTCGGCCGTCGACACCATCGTCGACCTCACGGCACGCTATCTATCCCTACTAGCAGAGCGCACAGCCTACAATGCGTTCTCTAACCACAACGACCTCACCCCAGACATTAGCGATGTGCGCATGGCAATGCAGGACTGCGCCCTTCTCGTGCCCACCATGACAGCTGGGGAAGAACTGTGGAAGGAGATTCTGCGCAAACCCCTCGATGAGTACAACGAGGAGACGGGCGCCCGCGAGAACGAGGCAGCCCGCCGCGACGCCGAGGACACGGCAGACGTGACCGAATTCATTGAATGGGTCAAAGGCGACCAGAACAAGGAGATTCGGCGCATAGCGGGCATCTACAAGCCAGTTGCGACGAACCCGACAGAGCAGCTTGATCAGGAGGAAATGGAGGACTACTTGAATAGTATGTCGAAATACTTCTCTACACAGCTGTAGACTTGCTAATCACTGCCCTAGCTCTCATGAAGAAACACAGCAAGACCGGCGTCGAATCACGTTTTCAAGGGACCGTTCTGGGAGTCCCGGCCGAACCAAAGACCATCAAAATCGAAGGAGGAGGCGCCGAAACGATAGAAGAGTGGTGTCGCAGAACCCGTGAAAGAGCCGCCAAAGCAGCCGAATCGAAACGAGAGAGCCGCGAAACTACAAACACCGTCGAAACAAGGGAGCCCTCGGCAGACGTGGAAATGGAAACAGAGTGATATCTGGCTGTTCATCTTACAAGCATAGCGAAGGCGTTTGGTCAGGAATCATCTTTAAGGCGTTCAGGGATGTCTAGGTTATGGGCTGGTCGGCTTTGTAGCCCACATGGTTACTCCATGGGTTTGTTGGGAGTTTGAGCTCGCGTGCTCATCATTGCACGGCCTGTAGTGGTTACAGTGCGTATACCTCCATCATACATTAGGCGACACGAGGTTGTGGCGATGGTATGATATTTATTCCTACAATCAGCAGCATAAGACTAGTTGAGTAAGGTCGTCCGAGGCGTGTTTCATTAGCAAGCACGCTCTCCGTTCAAGAGAAGTACTGAACCCGCCAGCTACTATATCAGCAAGTAACAAACAATACCACATATACTATATGTGTATGTATAACCCAGAAGTCTACATGGATGCACCGCTCTTCATCTCAGTACGTTGGTTATATTGTAGGCGGCAGCGCAGACGAAGACCTGCGTGTATCTATCTGGTTTCTCGTTGCACGGCCGCATGCAAGTTTTGGGACCGATCTCGCACCTAGTCTTCCCGCCATCGTGCCGCGCGGATACCAATGACTACGAGACAAGACTAAAACGCGGCTCAGACATTTGTTTTCCACGTCCTCACATGACAACGGCGCGCATTGGTGGGGCGGGAATGAATGACGGGCCCACCCCGCAGACGTCATAGCAATGGCAGATAGCCAAAACATTATCCTCGACAGCTCCAGCCTGATTTCCCATATACAAACCCAATCCACATAATTTCCAACCTCACATACTCTCTGCACTCAAATTCTCGTCTGTCAATTGACATTCTACCTACCCAAACCACAACCACATCTACCAACACCAACCATGTCCGGTCTCGATCCCAAGGGCCCCTCGCAGCCCTCTCTAGACCAAGCCTACACCACACCCGGCAACCCAGCGCAAAAAGACCCAAAAGAGCAAGTCCAGACAGAATTTAACGCCACCGACAACGCCGCCACCGTTGACCAACGTATCCCCACCAAGCAAGCTACCGACGCCGAGGGCCTACGAAATGCAAAGTTCGAGGAAGGCATGGGAGTCCACGGCGCACCAGCGGGCGAAGAGAGCAAAGGTCTGACCCATGAAGACGTAGGAAGGCACAAAGAGTTAGACGGGCAACAAATGGCTGCACCGGGCGAGGGACGTGTAGCCGATGCGGTGGCTCAGGGAGGGAAGGGCCTGGGTGGTGGTGGAGAGCAGCCTGATCTGGCGAGCGATCTGGACAGGTGAGTGGTGGATACTATATGAATGGGTTGGACGTGTGCTAACAATCGAACAGAAAGAAGGCTGAACAAGCCGAGGCGAGAGAGGCTATTAAGCAGTCAAAGGGCGAGGCAACACAGACTGGTGGTGCATTGGGACAGACTGGTGGACCTGCCAACCCCGTTGACAACTCGACACAGGGTGGTGGTAACTACCCCAACTCTAGCTACTAGGTCTTTTTGGTCTAGAGACGAAGGCGAGGACTACATCTTGGGTTGTGCGGGCTTCTTGGAAGAGTTGGCTAGTATACTCGCAGGCCTAGGACATGGCAAGAGTAATGAATAAGATATGCCATCAAACCAATGTTCACTATCAGTCAAACGAGCCTTTCGTTTTGGGGGCGAACAAAAGTACACGAAGGCATGTTGTTTGTAACCTACAATATGGACGACTTGGCGACGAGCATCTTCGTGATAGACATGACAATCGACAAAGGTGGGTGAAGACGTTATTAGGAATCTATCCAGAGAACACATGCGAGCATAGGAACATATCTACTTACTGTTTGTTAAGACTGAAGGCAAGCATTGTAAAGCTGGGTCAGAAAGGAATTCATAGAACCAAGCATCACACCAACGCAGACATGTTTATTTTGATTATTGTATTTTTCTTTCTTTGAAGCCCAGTAGCAGTAGCTACACGAGCATTAACGTTATGCGACAGTAACATCGGTACGTTATGTGAGCGCCCCAAGGGACAGCGTCACTCTCTATAAGCCCAGCAAATCTCTATCATGTACGTCGACGAGCGTGAAAAGACAAAACCAAGAAAGCGCCATGATGCAGACCTACCACAGCTGCTCCATGGGAAGTCGAGCTGGTGGTCAATACATCGAACGCCGAAGATCAAAAAGCAAACAGCGCAAACCCAACGTTATGTACATCAGTGACTCAAATGAGTCAAGCGAAAGGGGATGATGGAGGAAGGAGGAAAAGAATACATGGGCTCAGGGACCCATGTACGCGTCGAACTGGAAGTTACTCATGTCGGTCGGGACAGGGAGGTTGGGGTCGAAGAAGGTGTTGTTGTCAAACACCATGGGCTCATTCGCATGCATGTTCATACCGTAGTCCATGTATTGATTTGGGTCAATAGGGACTTGGTCCATCATGGGTACTTGCATGGGCATGGCCATGGGGAGCGGCTGCTGCGACGGAGGGTAGGCGGCAGCAGGAACAGCGGTGTTGTCGACTTCGTACGCAGAAGTGTCGAAGGTGTTGTCGATCTGTTCAGACGCGTCGTTGTCGGAAGCGCTTTCGGGCGACTGAGGGGTGGGCTTGTTGTCGACCTCCACCTCTTTGATCCAGTTTTGCTTGAGATACTCCATGGGAGGGTGGTCTCCGCCACCGATGCCACCACGCTTCTCGTCGTTCTTGCCCTTCCTGCCCCTCTTGCGGGGATGGAAGTGCGCACGGCGAAGATGGGCGGCAGCGTTGTAGTACGCGCCATACACCTTCTTGTTACGGCAGTGCTTACAGTTGGCGAGGAACTTCTTGTCGGCTGAAGAGTCGACGCAGATGTAGCCCTTCCTGCGAGAGGCATGGGCGCGAGCAATGTGACGGTCAAGCTCATGTGTGCCACGGAACCCATCGGGTCGCTCGTTGCAAAAGTTACACTTGATCTTTGGGTGTTGAGGACGCACGTACGGTGTCTTTGACAGAACACCGACAGTCTTAGAGGATCCATCCTCAGACCTTATCCTTGTCATCTGAGCATTTGATGACGCAGACTCGGTCGCATCATTGTTGTCGATTGCCTTCGGGGCAATCTTGCGAGACGCAGCTTGCGCGTTGATCTCGCGTTCGCGTTGCGATTGACGAGAGTTGGTCGATGAAGGTGCAGAGACCTCGCTCGAGTAACCCTCGCTTGATGAAGCTGAAGTCGACCTCCGCATATCCTCCGCCAGGCACGACTGATCGTTGTCGGAAGACGCAAGTGCATGCGCACTTGCAGGAACAGATGAAGAAAGGAAAGCTTCACTGGAGGAGCCAGTGAAGTTGAGAAAATGAGAACCATCAGCGGACTCGCTGATGGGCTTGGATGCGACGTTAAAGGAATAAGGAAATGACCCATCCTCTGGGAGGATGGGCACACATGAAGAATTTGACTGATTACGCGACATGGAAATGTTATCAAAAAACAGAGGGTTGTAACTACCCTGACGACTCATGTTACTAGATTGAGTAACAGGCGTCATCAGAGCGGTTGACGGTGTGCTGGGTGAAGAGGCGTCCGAAGACGAACTCCACTGCAAGCTGGGTGTCAGTTGCAACTGTTGTGAATGCTGGGGGGTGGGGAGGGAAGATGAGTCTGGCTGGATGCAGCTGCTGACGTAGTCGCCAACGCTGTACTCAGCGATGCTGTTGTAAGCAGTCTCTGGCATCGACTGAAGAGTCGGCTGTCTTCGCATGGAAGTATCAGAGTAGAGCGTGTAGTCGGTATTGGACTCTTGGGACATTGAAGGCCAGTCAGAGTAGGTGGTGTTTGAGCGGTGTAGGTTGTCGGTCATGGCCGAGTCTGAGCGGTTCATGACGGGAGCAGAACGAGTCCGGTCCATTGATTCGAAGCCAGTTGTCTAGAGGGTGTTAGATCAGGGACGAGCAGACCAAAAATGTGTCCATACTGGGAGCTGGGTCATATTTGACGTGTTGAAGGCCATTGACCGTGGGACCTGGTGGGCCATGGAGGGTTGCGACGGTTGGCAGGCAGCCTGGAACCACGCGCGGTTTAGCTCCTCCTCTGAGAGGTGTGCGTTGCTCATGCAGAAGTCGTGCTTGGCTTGTTCGAGGAAGGCGACGTAGGTATTACTACTACTACTGCTACTACTCGCAAGAGTCGAGGCCATGACGTCTGAGGGGTGGTGGGATGGGATGGTAAGAATAGTGGTAGCGGTGTAAGAAGCAAGCTGGGCGAAACGATGATCAGCAACAACGGCCAAAGAAGGGCTTGTCTGTGCAGGAAAATCTTACGGTGGTGGTAGATGGTTGTGGTGAAGAAGGAAGCAAATGGGGTAATGTCAGAATTGCGAGGCGATGAATAAGTGAGAATGCGGGTTGCGAAGGGGAAGATGTGCTTTTAGCACCACTTGGGTGCATGGGGGACGAGCGATGCGCTGGCTCGTGTCAGAGAGCGTCTGACGAATGCGGCCCGCGCTGAGCGGTGGACGAAGGGCCAAGGTGAGCTCAGAAGGGCTATCCTCGCCGGCGATCGATGCCATCCGTCTGGCGTTTCATTGGACATAAAGGGGCGGACGCGATTTTCATTCGCTGCCTCACTTTTGGCACACGGAAGCCAACACCGTGGCCCTGGCCACTCGATCCTGGGGACTCCCCAGTGCTACCCTATCGTGAACCCACACTCGGTGAGGGACCACCAGGTTTCATGCGTCCATTCGCATTTGGCAAACTGTGCTGTCAGTGGCAGAGGCGTCACCCACACGTTTTTCCTCTGGCGCCGCGCCAATGTCCGTCTTATTCCCAAAGCGTCTACCGCACGGCTGAATCGCCAGCCATCAGTCGTCATCGCTCATGGGTACGCGAAATGCGGAAACGGCGGATCGCCATCAATTTTCTTCCTCGCGTTAGACATGTCAGCAATTGAAGAGTCCAGGCTCAATGATCGTCTCCCATACTGGCAACCGCCAGCCCATGTGTCGTGAACTACCCGTTCAGGATGGCACCTCATCGCGATCACACCTTGGCAGAACAT